CTGGCAAACACGTGGAAGCCGAGGTTGTGGCGCGCAGAAGGCGAGCCGTAGCGCGGCTCCACGGTTTTACGAGTCGATCCTAGTTGTTAGAGCCTGTTCGACCGATTTCTCCAAACGTTCTTTGTAAATAAAAATCTCCTCGCCGATAAGGGAAATTCGTATTCGGATACGAAAGGGTTAAATAACCCTGCGGCGCAGGGTTCACGACGAAGCGGACGAAGGTGTCCCGTAGGAAGCTTCTCTTAAATAGACAAGTCTGATCGATGCGCCTTCCCGGCGATATTGATAAATAAAGGCGATTACAGCGATGACGATTCCGATGGTCAATGAATTTATATACCTGACAAAAGTTCTGGCCCGGCCGATAAATCAGCTCGTTCCTCTCCGTTCGGGCCCCGCGTTTCCTCTTCATCCCCACGACACGACGGTGACCGGCAGGGGTAATCTCTCAATCTAAATCGATCGATCTGCCAAAACGACTTCGATTCGGAGCTGTTTATCATCGGCCACTTATGAATTTATTTCACCAACGTTCGACTACACGCAGTCGCGCGTAGAAGGCGTACGTAAGAAGAGAGAAAAGATCCTGGTGATGAAGCCGTGATCTCTACGTGGGAGCACCGCGGGGGGTCTCCACGGAACTCCTGTAGATACTTAAACTTTCGTTTTTATTGCGTTTGCTCGATGAACGAACCGTCGAGATCATTCATTAAATCGTTGCGCCTCCAACTCGTTTTTCGCCCGGAATTCCTTGATTCCGTTCCGCGACAAGGTACAATCTAGTTCGCGTTACAATTGAAATTCCGCTGGGGTAACGAATTTCGACGTGTACTTTCTTACTCTTTTAACGTCTTCTACTAACGTCGCTACTCTTTAGCGTCTTCTTCGCGATACGAGACGATATTTACATTTATTTTTTCCTCATCGAACGATTAATCATCGAGTTAATTTCCGCCGGTTCTCGCTATCAAGCCGGTATCGCTCGCACCGTGTAACGTCCATCTATTTTATACGAGATAACGTTGACGATCGTTCGATGGAAATTCTGTTCGAACCCAGAGAAAAGGAGAGACGGTTACGTTGCTACGATAACGCGCGAAGCAATTACTGAAAACCCGTTTCACGTGTTACCGACTTAGGAAATGAGCTCCGATAACATTGCCGATAACGCGTTGCACATCCTTTACGCGTTTCAATTTGCCACTCGCACGACCAATACGCATTTTTTCATGTTTCGCGACAATAAAGGCTCGTTTTATTTCTCCTTTAACACCGACAGTTCTCGACTCGAACGCGTTTCGGTACAATGCGAATTAACAGAGCTCATTTTTGAGCGCTAGAACGATCGAGATACTCTATAACCAGGATTTATAACGGGAAGGCGCGAGTTTTGGAAGACGATTAAAAGAAGAAGAGGAGGACGAAAGCGAGAGACAAAGTTTCGTTCGGTGACGAGAAACGCGTTCGGGCGTTTTACGAGCGATAACTTAAGCGAAGGGACGCGTTGCCGAAATCATCGAGGCGGCAGCGTTTGAATAATCGACGAATCTCGCGACGCGGTGTTTTAAACCGCGCGCGATATATCTCGCGAACGCCTCGCGCCCGAGGTGGCCTGAAATTAATCGTCCGTGTAATATGCCTGGAATCGCGGTGTTTGCTCATTTTTCCGCTTCTCGCCGCTCGCAGAAGCTTATACTTGGCACTTTATCGCGATACAACCACGCAAAGGGATCGTTTAATTCCGAAGAACGAATCGTTCAAGTCGCGTCGTTCTTCGTAGCGGCAATAATAGTCTTTCGCTTTTAATTAACCCACAAACTGTTAAATGTCGCGCTCGATTAAGATATTAAGATATTATTGTTGTGACAGGTGACTTCGTAACGCGATAAAAAATCGGAGCCAGAGGATAGCCTAGTTAAGCCTGTTAATCGAAACGGTAGCGATCGAATCCGACATCGGCGCACCGCGGCTAACAAACATTCTATCGAATCGCATCCGCGACTTCATGAAGACATTTTAACGACACAATAGCTAAATTTACCAGAAGATGGTCCGCGACGCGCTATCCCTCACGAGCCACGGCAGATAACCGGAGTGTCGGTTGATTTATCGCCGCGTCCGTCGTCCCTAGTGTACGATTGTTTTGTTGTTTATATCTTATAGTTTGCACGCTTCGCGGGTGTAGCCATGGTCTGGGTAACAAAGACCCACACGTGCGACCATGTTCATGCGACTAGTAAATCATCGCCTAAACGCTCGAGGCGCTGTCACGGTCGACTTGTCTAGAAATATTCTAATTATTGTCACGCTATCGCGCCAGTTCTAAACCGTTCATTTTTCTCATCTTATAATTTTCCGTCTTTCTATTTTTTCTTTCCACGCAACTTTATCGAAATTTGATCTCGCACAAAAGTAATCGGCCAATTCACCAAACTCGTGATCACGTTACGATCGGATGTAAAAATCTCATTTACGAGTGTTTTTTTTTAACCGTCCCGAGTCGAAAATAACCGTCACGGCGGAACGATAATTGAACGTTCGGTAAAGTCGACGTCATTCGCTGGTTCGCAACTTTTGCTCGAACAAAGGAGATTATCCGTTCGATTCGATAGAGGTGTACGAGCGAAATCTCTTTGACTCGATTGACCGGCTGGAAATCGATGGTTGGGTCGAACGTGTTTTCGGTAGGCGAACCTCCGAATTATGCGAGGACAGACTCGCATTCGGCTCCGGGTATCTTCCGGTGACAGAAACGTGGGAGTGATTTCGTTCGGTCAAAAGCCGCGCCCACTTGTTTGGCCAGGATAACAGTCTTTCCCGAAGCTCTGGCTGGTGCAGCTTAGAAAGGAACAGTAAGTTTCTTCGTTCTCGACGCTCTCGTTCTTCGTCGACGTATTCCGTTCGTCGCTAACTAGCGTCCTCGGTAGAGCAAAACATTTAAAGATATCTTCGAAATGTACGACGTAATCAGTCGTTACAGCGAATAATTTGATCGGTAGTCAGAGTTTTGACAGCGGTATTCGAATTCGCGTAGAATATGTACGTAGGAAGTAAATTTTGAAGAAAAGGAGGTGACAAGGCGAAACGACTGCGCGGCGGTTAACGTTAATCCTCGCGTCTGTATTCTGGTCGCGCAACAGGCTACAAATCATATCATTGAAGAGGTGCTAGGATGCTATCTCGGGGACTGGGTCGTCATTACGATAATCACGGTAGAGGCGTCCCCGGACTGCTATTGTTTTAACTCGAACCGGCTGTTCGCACGTAGGTGTTCGAATTCGTCTAAAAAGGATCTCCTAGTCGGGCGAACCCGGCCGTACGATTCTGAAACTCGTTCGCCGAATCGTCGAACGTTTTAAAGAATCTTCGAAATTCCGTGCAGGACGGCCGACACTGGATCGCGGAGTAATAACGGAGCGAAAAGGCAATTGTCCCATTAGTCGAACGGATTGGAAATTCCAAGGGTGAAGTTGTTCCGTGTTTGATTAGGATTCCATAGGGGGGACCGTAGGAGGGGAACGACGCGTCCATCGTTGACCACCTCGAAGGGTCAATATTATCACACGTGCTCGAAACGCCGACAGAGGGACCGTCGTTGTATCTGCTCGTTCCTTTTTCTCGATCATGATTCCGTTTTTAGATCAGGACCATTCGCTGGTCGGTACACCCTGCGCGCGGCACCTGCGCTTCGATAGGCATATATTTATCCAAGTCCGCCCTTTTCAGGTAGACCCTCGCCGCGCCATTTGAATACGCTCGAAAAATTCGACGAATCTATTTGCATGTTCTCGTAGATAAAGGGAGGAAGGCACACCTTCGGTGAAGCAGCGAACGCCCTTCGAATTTCGTTTCCTCGGATCGTTGGACGGTGTACCCGTTCGAACGGCCGGACAAGCTATCGAGAAGTAGGTGTAAGGCAACGAAACGACAGAAACGAAATTCGGAGTCGTGACTCTGTATTCGTTTCCGTGAAATCGTCTAACAGGCATCGAGGCGAAATACAACGAGCGTATCGTAGAAACAGTGTTTTCAGAGTCGTGACCGTGTTGTCTGGTAACGTAATCTCAGCAGGAGCGTGTTCGTCTGACCCGCAGAAAATGGCGGCAACTAATAACCCGTGCCGATACGATCGTGAGAAAGCGGTTGTCCGATAACGTCGATTCTGAAACGAAAGTACCAGCTGGTAAAACTATTCCAGGGAGAGACTATACTTGGAAATTTGAAATGTACCGCGCACTCGCGAAAAGGAAAAGAATCGTCTTCCTTCGAAGGAAATTGTTCGTAAAGTCGTTTGGTAGCCACCGCTCGAGACGATCGCGACGAGGAATCGATTCGCGACAAAAGCAACGGAACATCCGTTTTTTCCACGCTTTTTACGACGGTTCATTTCCGTTCACGGTGTAATGTCACTTTGTGTACAGTTTTATCTCGACACCGGTACAACGGGCACAGCCGTAAAACACTTATGACACCCGTAGCATAATAATGCCTGACCGATAGTCGTTATCTCGTCGTATATAACCGCGTAGCATTCGCCATTTTCCTAATTAATGTTTAATGCCTTCGATATCTGCCCTCCTTACTCACGATTGTACCTGTTCGCTCGATATCGCCTTATCGACTCAACCCGGAGTTTCCTTTTTCGAGCGGAATCGCGTTGAAATTTGCTCGACTGTTACGACGTCGTTCGACGAATAAATATTGTTAATCGCGAATACCGAGAAAACGCGTAAAAAAATTCTTTCATTTATCGGCAAAACACGCGGAGTCTTTTCCTTCGACGCGTCGAGCGTCGCGATGTAGCCGTGGAAAAATTTGTTTCAAACGGTTTCGCATTTTCGCGATATTCGGCGAAAGTAAAAACTAGTAGCCAAACGTGCGTTGAACGATACCGAAGGAAAAGCCGATCGAAACGTAAACGGTCGTTACGAAATCGTATACGCGATAAATCCGATACGAGCGATTCAATCGTCTAACCAGAATCGTTACTTTGTTTTCAGTCGCATCAGGAGGAGGATTTGTCGGATCCAGACCTGCAGGACGAGGAGAGCGGAGAAGAGTTACCTCAGCAACCACTTCAGGGTAACACGCACTCCTCGTCGGATAATGCATCCGTGCCGACTGGTACACCTACTCCATTAACACACTTGAACAGTCTGATGGGCACCCACCATCCACATTTTCTGGCTAAACTGAAAATGGAGGTCAGTGAAAAGGCTTTTTGCACGATTCGAGTTCGTTCGTTTGCTCGCTCGACGATCGGAACGGGAACGTAAATACTCTTTTATTAACCCCTCGTCGTCGCGTCGCGTCGTGTCGCGAATACGTTGCACAAAACGATACGCCACCAAGTTCTCGTATCTCGACGGACGTAAGCGAACCGCATATTTCATTATCGACGGAGCTAAAAGGAATAGCGAAAAAAGCAAATGTTCGTTGCATAGAAAGGAACAAATAGCGGTGGCACGCGGTTTTGAAAATCGCGCGAGACCGTTGCAACAATCGCGTGGCTATTAACGCTCGTCGTAACAGCGGCGCCTACTTGGCGGCCTGTTCCTTTTTTTCTTTCGTTGCGCGAGCAAAGAACGAGAGCATTTTTTACGATGGTTGCTTTCAACTCGTCAACCAAGCGCGTACATTCACGATTTCCTATTCAAATCCGATCGAACGAATCGACCGCGAACTTCCGTTTTTCTTTGAATTTTTTTTTTTTTCACCGAAAAAACGTCGCGTTAAACGAAACTTTTTTCTTTTCGATTGTTGCGCAGCAAACCGAAGTGGACGCGTTGAACAACAAAAGTGGACTGGAAGCGCTTCAAGCCGCGATGGGTAGCGGTGGCTTCAATTTGCCGTTTTCGTTTCCGCCACCGGCAGCGTTTCTAACGCCTCAACAACAACAACATTCGCAAAACAGTCACTCGCAGCCAGTAGCGACAACCGGAGTCGGAAGCGGTATACTAGGAAGTCAGATAACGTCCTCGGCTAGCTCGTCCGATACGAGCGATTCAATCGTCTAACCAGAATCGTTACTTTGTTTTCAGTCGCATCAGGAGGAGGATTTGTCGGATCCAGACCTGCAGGACGAGGAGAGCGGAGAAGAGTTACCTCAGCAACCACTTCAGGGTAACACGCACTCCTCGTCGGATAATGCATCCGTGCCGACTGGTACACCTACTCCATTAACACACTTGAACAGTCTGATGGGCACCCACCATCCACATTTTCTGGCTAAACTGAAAATGGAGGTCAGTGAAAAGGCTTTTTGCACGATTCGAGTTCGTTCGTTTGCTCGCTCGACGATCGGAACGGGAACGTAAATACTCTTTTATTAACCCCTCGTCGTCGCGTCGCGTCGTGTCGCGAATACGTTGCACAAAACGATACGCCACCAAGTTCTCGTATCTCGACGGACGTAAGCGAACCGCATATTTCATTATCGACGGAGCTAAAAGGAATAGCGAAAAAAGCAAATGTTCGTTGCATAGAAAGGAACAAATAGCGGTGGCACGCGGTTTTGAAAATCGCGCGAGACCGTTGCAACAATCGCGTGGCTATTAACGCTCGTCGTAACAGCGGCGCCTACTTGGCGGCCTGTTCCTTTTTTTCTTTCGTTGCGCGAGCAAAGAACGAGAGCATTTTTTACGATGGTTGCTTTCAACTCGTCAACCAAGCGCGTACATTCACGATTTCCTATTCAAATCCGATCGAACGAATCGACCGCGAACTTCCGTTTTTCTTTGAATTTTTTTTTTTTTCACCGAAAAAACGTCGCGTTAAACGAAACTTTTTTCTTTTCGATTGTTGCGCAGCAAACCGAAGTGGACGCGTTGAACAACAAAAGTGGACTGGAAGCGCTTCAAGCCGCGATGGGTAGCGGTGGCTTCAATTTGCCGTTTTCGTTTCCGCCACCGGCAGCGTTTCTAACGCCTCAACAACAACAACATTCGCAAAACAGTCACTCGCAGCCAGTAGCGACAACCGGAGTCGGAAGCGGTATACTAGGAAGTCAGATAACGTCCTCGGCTAGCTCGCATTCCAGCGAATCGTCGCAAGGCAGCGCCAGGAACGGTGGCGAGCCACGAGAGGGTAGTAGTCTTTCGCAGAACAACGCGACAGGAACGAATCATCAGCAACAGACCAGCTGGAGTTTCGAAGAGCAGTTCAAACAGGTGCGTCAGGCAAGTACCTACCTGTCTTATACAGTATGTTTGTTTCTTCGTATGCTAATTACGACGAAATTCGTTGGTTGTTCTTGTTTTTTTTCCAACAACCATGCTCAAAATCCTTATAAACCTCGATTGAATCGATTCTCTTATGTACGAGCGCGAAAGCAATTAACGTCGTTCGCGTAATCGCCGTTGAATCTGATCGATGAGCGTAGAAATGGCGAACGTAGGAAAGCATCGAAGACCGAACGAGTTTCGAAGACGATTCTCGCGATGGATCGTGTTCCCGGAGGTGTTCGCGCGAGCGACGTGGGCGTGTAAAGCGGTTGCCCTTTGTGGGACAGTGGTTAGTGGCATAAGGGACGCGTAATTATGGGCGGCGAGAGCGTTCGCGCGAGAGAAAGAGGCGAAAAGGAAACCGTCCACGGAGTGGGGGCTTTAATTAATGCAACGATGGGAGCTAATTATTATTTTTACACGACCGAGAGATAATTACCCTCGGACCGTTCGTCCCCCGAACACGGACTCGTTTCGTGGCGTTCGCGAGACAAGAAGGGGCCGCGCGACGTAAGAGAGCGCGTGTACGAAGGGAGAACGAGGGTGAACGATAGAGAAAGGAAGATAGGCCGAAAGACGCGAAAATACTGGTATACGAAATAGAGAGGAGTTGGTAGGCCGGGATGGACGTTAGTCATAGAATTAGTTGGACATCCTTGTTAACGCTTTTTGTCTCGTCTCGTCTCGTCTCGTCTTCTCCGGGATATTTTTGTTTGGTCCACGGTGCTTCGGCCTATCCTACGACCCGCGTGCTTTTCAGTTTTTGCAAAGAGGGTGTGGTGTTGGATTACCATTTAGATTGTTGTTCAGACGCACGAGCCACCGTTCTCTCTTCGTTGTTCGCGAATCGAATCGACTCTCTTACAGCGATTCCTCCACCCTTTCGACGTCGAAGTCGCGAGCGCGTCGGTTAGGGGTTCGACGCGGAGGGTGATCGCGTTCTCGCAGGGAGTTTGCGCGCGACGTTTGCGCCGATTAAACCTTACGAACGCGAGAAAACGCGAACGTACCGCTAGGAGGGAGACGATGGAGCAAGCGTAGGAATGAAAATGGAAGTCTCCACCTACTCGAAGAGCGGCGCCCGCGTCTCACGGATCGCATCCATCATTCCGGTGGGGGCGTACTTGCAGGGTCTTTAATCTTTCTTCTTAACGGAGACGGTGGTTCCTTCCCTTCTCCCTCCGTGACCTATGAGAATCTTTTCCCTTTCTCGCGAGCTGTCTCCGACTCTCGATCACTCGCGCACCAAATTTAACCTCTGCCCGCGAAATCGTTCCCGTCCCTCGATCGATTTTCGACGAACCTCGGCATCGGTTAAAACGACACCGATGGAACGGAGTTGTCCCGTTTCGAAGTTATTCGAACTCGTTGCGAATAACTTGAATAGAAATTATCGTTCTTCTTATCGCGCTAAATAACAATAAATAATACACGTATTATTTTTAATAGTTAGAGGAACCGTTGACTGCGAACGCGTATCTAAGAGCTTAGAAATTGTCCGACAATTATTCTGCTCGAAAAGTAGCAAAAGGATTAACACTAACTATCGCGACGTCTTATTGGTCGCGTTTTATCGTCGACGATATAGGAATATATGTAGAACGATGCAAGTTATATTTCGCGATGATAAATGCTCGCTTTATCGCGATTCCTTTGTCGAAGAATACCTATATTTTATTTCAATTCCGTCGCGCAGTCGCGTTCCCCGAAGGCGAGGATATTAAACATTTACGATTTTTCGTTTCCCGTAACACCGTCGCGATCTCAGAAATCCGTTCGTCTAACGATCGTTTAACCAATAAAACGAAACGTTGCGATCGTTAGACGACCGTAAAAATTCGAGGTTGTTTGTTTCTCGCGGTGAATTAGTAAGTTCATTACGAAATCGGTTGATTCGACGATCGTTTCGATCAACGAAAAGTCGAACGGCGTTTTACGCGACTGCGAAAAAGAAACTTGGTCGATCGGTCAATTTCCTTAAGCGATCTCGCCAAGTCCTCGTTTCCAAAGTACACGCGTGTCCCTCTGCATTATACGTCGTTTCGATTGAAACAGAAGTTCGTCTTTCGCTACGTACACCTACGCGTATCCTTGCATCGTTCCTGCATCCTTGCTCGTACCATCGTTCACTGACCGTACGCTACCACGACCAGTATAATACCGTACCACTATACTTTGCAGCCATTGTGAAATAACTCGTAAACCTGCAAATTGCCGGGTATTTCGCTGCCATATACGCGCGTACACCGGTTCTTTACACCGTTTCGTGGCTGTCTTAGTGGGCGCATCCGACGCGTACGATGTACGACCACGTTCGATTTCGAACTTGTTCGCGTTTTCGCGTGCACCTTGCTCGACTTGGACTCGAAGCGAATCCTCCGGTGAATTTGCCTCGAGTTACCGTCGCGATTATGCAAACGCGTTATCGCGGTCGCGTTGCTAGCCGAATTTTTAAAGGAAGCGCGACTCTAGGAGCGTCTGGACTGACCCCTTTCGTTCGACACGAGGACTCTGCTCGTCAATTAATGTCCCCTTTTACGGATTCTTCATTTTCCTCCTTTTTTTCTTCCAGTCGCCGACATTCCCCTGTCGGTCATTATCTCCGTATACTCGCTTATCGATCAATTAGGAGGGCCGTGCATGCAGAAGCGCAATTACAGCACGGTGCAACGAGATGATCATTGAACGGAGTCGTGGTCGCTCACAGGGAATTGTCCGAGCGTTTGTTCCGCCGTAAAAGACCCTTCGTTTTCCGCGATGTTGCGGTGCGTAATGATTTGTTCGTTTCTCCTGCTAATTCGGAAAGGATCGAGTTAGATGCTTCGAAAGACTCGAAAGAAATCGTTCGCGGAGCCGCGTATGTGGGTCACTCTGAAAGCTTCCGAACGTTCGTTCATATTTTTCGATGAACGACTTTAGAACGCGCGATAGCCAGAAAAATTCTCGTTATCCGTGCAACGAGAAGCTCTACTCTCGGTAGAGCTTCCTCCTAGAATCCTAACCGCGTAGCTAGCTAGAAAATACGAGCCATGGAACAAAAAACGGCAAAATTGCGAGCAACAGTGTTGCGCTCGAGAAACCGCGGCGAACCAACTAATCTACTTACTTACTTCGGTGCGTAACACCTGCATCGCTTACCCGTAAACGATCAGCTTTTTCTTGGTCGCAAAAAAAAGAGGAGAAGAAAACGATATATTGACCCGTGGATTCTTCGTGTTTACCCAATAATTGGATGAGGCTGTAAATATGGCTATTAAGCTACCTACGCTTTTCGCGCTCGTTAGAAGCGAGGTATCGCGAGCACCGAGGCGCATTCCCTCTCTCTCGCTCTCGCTCATCCTGCAAGGACTTGACTCGGTTGGCTGGGAACGATTTAACTCGAGCTTATTTTCTCTGGACGAAAAGCAAAATGGAGGGTATTCCGGAAGCGTGTTCGTTCGTAAGCGTAATCTCGCGTTCGCGAAGCAACACGACCGACGCGATCGGGGTCGATCGGAGGCGAAGAATTCTCGAAAGAGGTGTCTTTCGAACAAGACGTCAGAAACGCGGCGTCGTTATCTCGGCGTCGAATCGCGTGCGCCTCGTGCAAAACGATGTTTAACTTTGTTGCTCACGTGACCATGGGTACTCATCGTTGGCAGTAATTTCGCGGAGATACGAATCAGGAAGGAGAGGGCGCGCGATGATGGAGGTCCGCGATATTTCCGGGTTAGGTGACGGGCAAATTGGTTCGTTACGCCGTGCAACGCGGTTCAGCCATACGAAAACAAAGATTTCCCCGACATCCTCCCCGACAGGATGTGACGAGCTGCTACCCCTCGTCCCGAGAACCGTGCAATTTTCCTTTTTTCTCGCTTCCTTCTCCGATCAGATAAGACGGACGTACGAACTTGGAGTTTTCGAAAAGGAACCGCCTACAAAGTTTGCGTCGTACGATCGTTTCGCCCAGTCTTTCTCCGGGGATTCGTTACCCACTACGAAAACTACGGTACAATCGGTTTGTCGTATCACCGAAGGTATCCTTGGAACGCGAGATCGATGACGACGATGGTAATAAGCGCGTTTCTTATCGCGTACCAATCCTTCGTCGCACGCCATCGGAACAGGCTGCGGCAATAAAGTCATCTTCCGCTTTTCTCACGGTCCGCTTAAATAAGGCTTAAATAAGATTGACGACACGACGGTGGTGCAGGTTTATCGGGAAGCGTGACTAGTTTTCGCGCGCTAATCGAACTTGCGCTAGATCCAGAGGACGACGAAGCTTTCTCTAGCCCCTGAATCGTCGTCGATCGGAAGGATGGACGCGAAGGAAGGAAACGGACACGAATGGAATCCGTGGAGTCAACGAGGAAGAAATCTCCGCATCGCGGCGCGGGGTGGCGCGAGGCGGCGTCGCGAGCGTTATATTTTGACCCCGGTTAGCATACCAAAGCTGCATTATATTACACGAGGCCTGGTGTGTGACTCGCTATTATAATGAATATCTTTGCATTGGCCTATAAGCATATATGTAAAGCACGCGCGTTTTCATGGGGTGTCAGTCAGGCCTCAGACAACACGAACACCAGAAACGATATCGTCGATGTCTGTCGGACGCAGACTGGTCCAGGAGGGTCGTCTTCGTCGTCGGCGGCGAGATATTATTTGAATTTCAATGAATCATGTGGGTGCAAGTGTCGCCCGTATTCATTCACGTTTTATACCTCGTTCGTATACGCGCATCGGTGTGTGCCATGGGTGTACACTAACGTTCAAAAGTCTTCGAACAGTTATCGCTTTTTCTAGGATACGACGATATCGCGACACAAAATATTTTATCTTTTCGTGTAATTTCAAATATTATCGTAATTTATACGTTTTCGATATTTTGCATACTTCGAGTAACTCGTTTAGTTCTCGTCCTCGCGCCGTACAGTTGCCGCTTCGTAAACGCGCAAACGCGTGCAATTCGATCA